ACTGCATTATCGTTAATCTGAACACAGTGGCTAATGTTGCTTGAATAATGCATTTGGGTGCTTTTAAAAGTCTGCAGTCAGCCTGGGCAACATGGCAAAACCCTGTTGCTACCAAAAAATACAAAAATTAGTTGGGCATGGTGGTTTGCACTTACAGTCCCAGCTGCTTGCAGAGAGGCTGATATGAGAGGATCGCTTGAGCCTGAAAAGTCAAGGCTGCCATGAGCCAAAATTGCGCCACTGCACTTCAGCCTGGGTGACAGAACGAGACCCTGCCTCAACAACAACAAAAAAGCCTGCAGTGTTTTATTTTTTAACCTGGGAAAATATTAAAAAGTAAATTAAAAAATATATGGGGCTGGGCGCAGTGGTTCATGCCTGTAATCCTAGCACTTAGGGAGGCCGAAGCAGGTGGATCACAAGGTCAGGAGTTTGAGACTAGCCTGACCAACATGGTGAAAGCCCATCTCTACTAAAAAGACAAAAATTAGCCAGGCATAGTGGTGTGCACCTGTATTCCTGGCTACTCAGGAAGACTGTGTGAGCCCAGGAGTTTGAGGCTGCCATGAGCTGTGACCACACAATTGCACTCAAGCCTATATGACACAGCAAGATACTGACTCCTAAAACAATTTTGTTTTAAAATAATTGAATATGCCACTATGACACACATGAATCTCAAAAACACTACGCTGGCCAGTCACGGTGGCTCACACCTGTAATCATAGCACTTCGGGAGGCTGCGGCAGGTGGATCACATGAGGCCAGGAGTTGAAGCGCAGCGTGGGCAACGTGATGAAACCCTGTCTCTAAGAAAGATACAAAAATTAGCCGGGCGTGGTGGTGCACGCTTGTAGTTCCAGCTACTTGGGAGGCTGAGGCAGGAGAAATGCTTGAACCTGAGAGGCAGAGGTTGCAGTGAGCCAAGATTGTGCCATTGTACTCCAGCCTGGGCAACAGAAGGGGATTCCATTCACCAAAAAAAAAATAAATAAAAGGCTGGGCACCGTGGTTCATGCCTATAATCTCAGCACTTGGGAGGCTGAGGCGGGCAGATCACCTGAGGTCAGGAGTTCGAGACCAGCCTGGCCAAAATGGCAAAACCTGTCTCTACTAAAAATATAAAATTAGCTGGGCATGGTAGCAGGCACCTGTAATCCCAGCTACTCAGGAGTCTGAGGCAGGAGAATCGCACTACACTCCAGCTTGGGCGGGCAGGTGTGATGACCCACGCCTGTGGTCCCAGCTACTTGGGAGGCTGAGACTGAGCAAAAGAGCGAAACTATGCTGAGGCAAAGAACCCAGACACCAAAAAAAACCCCAAACTATATGCTGTATGACGCCACTTACACTCAGGCTGAAGCAGGCAGATCACAAAGTCAGGAGTTCAAGACTAGCCTGACGAACATGGTGAAACCCCCATCTCTACTAAAAATACAAAAATTCTCAGGAGGCTGAGGCAGGAGAATTGCCTGAACCCAGGAGGCGGAGGTTGCGGTGAGCCAAGATAGCGCCATTGCACTCCAGCCTGGGTAACAAGAGCGAAACTCTGTCTCAAAAAAACCCCAAAAATCAGCCGGGCATGGGACACGTGGGACAGACACATTGACTGAACTTTGGATGGAAAAATCATTACAGTGCTTGCCTCTGAGAGCTGGGGGCAGGGACTGGGGCACAGGGAGGCTTTCTGATGACATCGTTCTGTATCTTGTCTCAGGAGCAGGTTACGCAGGTGCCTGCCTGTGTCCAAACTCAGACCGTTCACTTAAGGTCTGTTCATGTCACTGTATATAAATGTTTTATTTTACCTAAAAAATGAAAACATTAAAAAAAAAAAAGGAATTCAAGTAAATCAACACAACCCACGTCCTTCTCCTTGGCAGCTCTGCTAACCAGATCCCTAAATGGGAGGCTTTTTCTTGGGCCTCCAGGGCCTCCTGGGCCTCCCTGGTCCAGCCACTGTCACTTCCCCACTAGGCTCCCAACTGACCCCCTGCAGTCTGTTCCACACCAGGCTTCCAGAGGGAGCCGGGAAACACCTACGTAAGATCCTGACGCTGTGCTCAGCCCCCTCCCATGGCTCACATCTCTGATTAAAGCTGGAATCCATGCTGGCCTGTAATCCCAGCACTTTGGGAGGCCAAGAGCCTTGCACGCCAGCCTCAAAGCCCCCTGGACTCTGCTCCTCACCTCCTCCTCTTTTTTTTTGAGACAGTCTCGCTCTGTCAGCCAGGCTGGAGTGCAGTGGCATGATCTCAGCTCACTGCAGTCTTAACCTCCTGGGTTCAAGCAATTCTCCTGCCTCAGTCTCCCAAGTAGCTGGGACCACAGGCATGCACCATCATACCTGGCTAATTTTGTGTATTTTTAGTAGAGATGGGGTTTCACCATGTTGGCCAGGCTGGTTTCAAACCCCTGACCTCAGGTAATCTGCCCACCTCAGCCTCCCAAAGTGCTAGATTACAGGTGTGAGCCACCACGCCCCGCCTCATTCACTTTCTCAAATAGCTCAGAGGCTACCTCTATGATGCCTATTCCTCTCTGCCTGGGAGGCCATCCCTGGCCAGCTGCTTGTCTCACCCCTTACCCCTTTCACGTCTGTTCAGACTTCGAGTCCACAGAGAGGCTCCCCCAACCACGTAGGTGACGGCCAGCCGCTCCTGCACACGCACCTTGCCCGCTTCTCTTCCTCTTTATTTCTCACGGTGGAGCTCAGCTCCACTCCACCTGCATCTGTAGAAGGGCTGTCCTCACCGGAACGTCAGGCTCCAGGAGGCCAGAACTCTGTGTCTTGCTCCTGGCCGTCATACAGCAGATACTCAATGAACCTTGCTTGAATGACAGCATCGGCGACCAGGACACTTTACCCTCGAGCCCTGCTGGTGGCATCCACAGCTCTCCATCTCCCTGCAAACACTCCGGGCTAGCCTCACCCCAGACACACCCCTCAACAGAACACCTCCTGCTGGAGTGCTGTTTCCTTGAAAACAGCTTTCATGTGCCCCCACCTTGGATTCCCCCCACTTTTTGGCCACGTAGGCCTTCCAAACTTTACTGATGGCCTGGGTGTAACCAGTGCGAGTGTGTGAGTGACTATCGTTGTGGGAGGTACTTAAACATCTTGTCCAAATGGGGCTTCTTGGACAAGATGTTTACTGTGGGGGTGTGGGGAGACCCAATAAATAACCCTTCATCCAGATGCTTAGCTGAGTACCCAGTCCCAATGAACACCCTGTCCTCAAATCCCAGCCTTTTTTTTCCTTTTTTTTTTTTTTTTAAGACAGTCTTGCTCTGTCACTCAGGGCCGGAGTGCAGTGGTGTGATCTCAGCTCACTGCAACCTCCGCCTCCCAGGTTCCAGCAATTCTCCTGCCTCAGCCAACGGAGTACCTGTGATTACAGGCAACCGCCATCACGCCCAGCTAATTTTTTGTGTTTTTAGTAGAGCTGAGGTTTTACCATGTTGGCCAGGATGGTCTCGATCTCCTTACCTCATGATCTGTCCCCCTCGGCCTCCCAAAGTGCTGGGATTACAGGCATGAGCCGCTGTGCCCATTCATCTCTTTTGGTTTCTTTCCCACCTTTTTTTTTTTTGAGATGGAGTTTCACTCTTATTACCCAGGCTGGAGTGCAATGGCGCAATCTCGGCTCACTGCAACCTCCGCCTCCTGGGTTCAGGCAATTCTCCTGCCTCAGCCTCCTGAGTAGCTGGGATTACAGGCACGCACCCACTATGCCCAGCTAATTTTTTGTATTTTTAGTAGAGTCGGGGTTTCACCATGTTGACCAGGATGGTCTCGATCTCTTGACCTCGTGATCCACCCACCTCGGCCTCCCAATTTCTTTCCCATCTTTCCTCACAATCTCCATTCACTTTCGCAAAACCCTAACCGAGACCCCTAAGGACACTTCCCTTTCCCCAAGTCTTAATTATTCCACCTGCAGCTCTCCAACCTGTATTATTAGTAGACTCCTCAGAAGAAACTGTTTAAGATGCAGATTCCCAGGTACAACTCCCAAGAGATCCTGAATCAGCAGGTGGGGCCACAAAATGCCACCTTGAACAGATTCCAAGTGACGGATGTAGTAGACACCCTGGTTCAGGAGTTCCTGGGGAGGGGCAGGGGAGGGTCAGAAGAAAACTAAGTTTTTAGCTAAAAGACCTCAGCTTCTGGCTGGGCACAGTGGCTCACGCCTATAATCCCAACACTTTGGGAGGCCAAGGCAGGCAGATCACTTGAGCCCAGGAGGTAGAGGTTGCAGTAAGCTAAGATCATGCCACTGCACTCCTGCCTGGGCGACAGAGCAAAACTCCATCCCCTCCCCTCCTGTCACCAAAAAACAAAAAAAAAGACTTTGGCTTCTGTGTGAGGGAACAGGAAGGGAGGGAAAGGTTTTCATCTTCCAGCTACTGATAAAAATAAATTGGGCCAGGCGCAGTGGCTCACACCTGTAATCCCAGCATTTTGGGAGGCTGAGCCGGGTGGATCAGGAGGTCAGGAGTTCAAGACCAGCCTGACTAACATAGCGAAACCCCATCTCTACTAAAAATACAAAAAGTAGCCAGGCATCGTGGCAGACACCTGTAGTCCCAGCTACTCTGGAGGCTGAAGCAGGAGAATCAATTGAACCTCGGAGGGAGAGGTTGCAGTGAGTTGAGTTGTGCCACTGCACTCCAGGGTGGGTGACAGAGTGAGATTCTGTCTAAAAAAATAATAAAAATAAATAAACAAACAAACAAACATACTGGCACTTCAAGGTACTTCACATCACCAGATACCTATTCTAGAAACCCTAAGATCTGTGACACATCCTTCCACATCGGGGAAAGCCTTTCACAAAGAGGAAAACGGCTTCTTCTCTCATGGGTAATTAACAGTTCTCAAACCTTGAATCCGTATCTGACAACCAGTCACGTCTGGCTGGGGGTGCTGTTTGAAGGGGGAACCCTTGCCTCAAATGTAATAGTCCATGCAATCCCCACCTACAAAAGAGACTGAGCAGGACACTTAATTTGCTAAGCTTTATTTTATACATCCGCGTTTACACTTACTAGTCATGGTGTCGACCTGCTAAGACAATGAAGCCCTAATGAACCCGTTTCGAAATCAGAAGCTGGACAGTTGCAGGCTTTGGTCATTTCAAGAATCCAATTCACCCCTGGGTTTTGTTTTGCACACACCCCAGAAGCTTGATGCACACAGCTGCATAGCTGTCAATAGAAACCACTCTCTTTACTCCTGTATTTTTCAGTTACACTCACTCAGGATTTTGAAATGAATCATCACAAGAAATTTGTTTTAAAGCTGAATCACTGGGAACATACAACAACTGTTCACATCAGCACAAAAACTGAAGTCGGAAAAAGAGACCCTGAAAATGTACAAGGGCTAATACTCTATGACAGAATATTATTACTGTTCACCATGTTAATACATTTACTTGCTACCATACAACTAAAGTCACAGCAGAATGAGAGCGTGTCAGTTACAAAAGGAAACTTGCTTTCAGTGCGTCAGATAACAGGCCATGCACAGGACTGAATTTCTTCCCCTTCGAACCTCTCTCACCAGTCACATTTACAAGCAGCTCAATTTTAAGCAAAGAGATGCCAGAAGCAGCTAACTCAAGACGTGTACAAAACCAGGTTAACCTATAAACACAAGATAAACAGTCTGACAGTCTTCAATGGAACTTGTTAGGTTTCCCACATATCTGAGTAGTCACTTTTCACAGTTTTTTAAACACATAAAAAAACAGATTTAGATTACGTCTTTGTGGACATCTAGGATACAGTTTGGAAACCACTGTCTCAGGGACCCTGCCCTCTCCTATGCACACGCGCACAAACACACACACACACACAATGGCACACGGCGGTCTGGTCTAACATAGTGTGCCTAAATTCAGAGGGCAGACATTAACAACTGGATTTTAAAAGATTTTTTTCCCCTTTTACTATAATGGGAGTAGTGGCCTTCTGCTGCAAAGATCGTGACAGTTTGGTGCAAAGATGGTGACAGTTTGTTGGATGGATGAAATCAGAGCTTGGGACCTAGGACTGCCTGAGTCCTTCCCTACAATCACCCCCTTCCCCACAGGATTCCTGAGAGGGCTCATCCCAAATGGGAATCAAAGGGCCATTTTTACTAACAGACGCTAAAACTCAAGGACTTCGAGATCTAACCAGACATTCTTTTTCCCTAAAACTCACTCCGGGGACCTCGTGGCTAGGTAGCCGGAGGTTGGAGACCGAAAGAGCAATGAAGCCAGGTTTGCAGTGAAGGGCCTGGCCTAACTTACCCCACTGGTTACAGGAAAGAAAGGCTGGAAGGGAGAAAATGGCGGGGCCACTCAGCTCTTCCAAACGCCAGGGCCTGCAGAGGTCGCTGACCATCCCGGGGAGGCAGCGAGGCGCGGGGGAGAAAGGCTGAACGTGGATGAGTATAACAGCGACCTGCTCATGCATAAAGGGGAATGAATGTTCTAGAATTTTCCCAATCCTCTTACCAACTCTCCTGCCTCCGAAGGTGAGTGGAGGGGCAGTGAAAACAGCAGGCCTGGTAGGAAAAAGGGCATAGAGATCCACCTCCGTACCCCAACTCCCTCCCACCAAGATCTCACCTATCGTTTACCTCAGAGCCAGATCGCTATCAACAGGGTCCCTAAGACAGTCCAAAGTCTTATTTCATTCAGTGACAAGAGGAAATTTTGCTGACTTGGAACTTCTTCCTTGTTCTTTCAACTCCTCAGGTACGGATGGTCCCCCAATTTATTTCTGGATTCTGTGAATAAATGAGAACAGCTCAAGAAGGGAACAGAGAGAGGTGTCATTAAGAAATGTGTTACTTCCGAGAAATTTCTCGGTCCCTGAACATTTCTATTCCCCAGCCAGGCCTCTGGAAAACTTCACCCTTAAAACCACATACCCCGGGTGGATCACGAGGTCAAGAGATCAAGGCCATCCTGGTCAACATAGTGAAACCCCGTCTCTACTAAAATACAAAAATTAGCTGGGCATGGTGGTGTGTGCCTGTAATCCCAGCTACTCAGGAGGCTGAGGCAGAAGAATTGCCTGAACCCAGGAGGCGGAGGTTGCTGTGAGCCAAGATCGTGCCATTGCACTCCAGCCTGGGTAACAAGAGCGAAACTCCGTCTCAAAAAAAAAAAAAAAAAAAAACCACATACCCGGCAAACACCATAACCTCAAAGCATTATTATTATTATTTTTTAATTTTTGTGTTTTTAGTAGAGACAGGGTTTCATCATGTTGGCCAGGCTGGTCTCGAACTCCTGACCTCAGTGATCCGCCTGCCTCAGGCTCCCAAATCATTAAACTCTTTTTTTTTTTTAGAGACAGAGTCTCACTCTGTCATGCAGGCTGGAGGGCAGTGGCACAATCTAGGCTCACTGCAACCTCCGCCTCCAGAGTTCAAGAGATTCTGCTGTCTCAGCCTCCCAAGTAGCTGGGATTACAGGCATGTGCCACCACACCCAGTTATTTTTTGTATTTTTAGTTAAGAGATGGGGTTTCACCACATTGGCCAGGCTGGTCTTGAACTCCTGACGTCAAGTGATCTGTCCACCTCGGCCTCCCAAAGTGCTGGGATTATAGGCATGAGTCACCATGCCTCGCCCCAAACCATTAAATTCTCATCAAGGAAGATGGGTCAGATGGAGTTGACAGATGACCACAGCAACATTCATTGATAAACAATTGGTCGGTAGGTTTGCTCTGCTGCCTCCTGCCCACTAGATGTCCCCAGCATCGGCCTTCAGGGACTCCTGGTGGTGGGGTGGGGTGGGGAGTCTGGGCTCTTACCCTCCTCAACTGGTGTGTCATCCACCTCCTGCAGTGCACTGGGATCCTCCTCATCACCCGCTTGACCCACCACCTGCTCAGGCGCCTCTGCCCCCGCCTGCCACTCCTGCTCCTCCTGCCTCACCCACTTGCTGGCAGGAGCCCAGTCACTTCTGTTGTCATTCTCACCATTGGTGGCACGCCGAGGAGAGCCTTCTGGCTTGGCCTTTGGACCCTTAGAGGTTGAGGCTGCTGGCTCAGCAGGCTGCTGGCCTCGAGGCGCCTTCTGAACTGATGCCTCCTTTCTTGAGCCCGGCCCTTTCTTTGGCATCACCGGCTTCTTCCTGGCATCTTCTGAGTCAACCAGGACGTAAGAGACAGGGCCCAAGCTCACCTTCTTCTTCTTCCTCATGGGGGCAGGGTTCTTGGGGGAAACCCAGGCCATGGCCTTCTTCTTTGGTGGACTCTGGTGGCCACCATCTTGGTCTGACTCAGAGGCGCCTTCTGGACTCTCAGCTTCTGCCTGAACATCCTGAGGAGGGTCTCTGGGACCCTTCCAGGCACATTTCGCCCCAGGCTTCTTCAAAGAGAGCGCCTCTTGCTTCATACAGGGCTTCTTGCCGCCCTTGATCGACTCTGAGATGGCTATGCTTTCAGTATCACCCGCCTCAGGATCCTCCAAGTCAGCCGAGCTGCTGGAATCATTGCCTTTGGGTTTTTTCCAGGGCACTGCTTCCTGCTTGGGGTTCTTCTTCTGCTTCTTTCTCCTGGAGCGAGTCTTGGCTCCAGCCTTGCGAACCAATGGTTTGGGAGGGTCATGCTGGTCTCCCGTGGCATTCCAGTTGTTGAGGTTCTCCGTCTTTAAGGTAGAACCCACCTCTGCTGCAAGCCCCGGTTCCTTCTTGATCTTCCTCCCTCCTGCTAAACCCCAGGCTGCCATCTCCTCGAACTCAGAGGCCTCCTGGGCCCTGGCTTCCTCCCGGCTTCGGATCTCGGCATCCATGTAGAAAATGATCTGCACCACTGCTCCCAGGAGCACCCCCAAAGCTTCTGCCCAGTTCTCTGGGGGCTGATGCTGGTTCTGGGACAGTGTCGGGTGGTTGAGCTGGAGCAGGCGGACCACATCCTCCCAGGTGCGCCCCTCCGCATCCAGAAATTCATTCAGATTTTTTAAAAACTCAGCATCCTGGGTGGGGTCTCTACACACCACTCTCCAGACACCACCCCTTCCTGGGAATTCACGGGGGATGGTGCTCAGATTCACACTTTCACCAACCTCAATGAGGGCAGCTTTAACATTCTCTTCCCTCATAAAAATCTTGTTGAGCACGCGGTACGGGCCCAGCGGGGAGAGGACCGCATTCAAGGTCTCCTCAATTTCTGCTTGGCCACAGTCCTCTGGGATGCCTGTGACCAGTAAGGACCTGTGGATATCCACTTCCATTCCCCTGCACCAATCCTCCAGAAGGTTCATCGCCATGGTCTTGGACATTTAGCGGCTCTGACCCTACTACGCGTGGTAAAGAGTCTATCAGGTGGACGTGGGGCTGCAGCGGTCCCCAAACCGTAATCCTGCAAGGTGACAAGGGAGTGAGGTCAGGCTCCCGGGAAGACGGCCAAGCTCGCAGATCCCAGCTGCCCCCTCCGCGGCCGGCCTGCAGGAGGCCTCGCGCCTTCCCAACACCCTCCTCCCCAACCCGGGCCCCGGGTGCTCACACGTGTCCCGGAATCTGCCGCAAAAGGCCCTCCGTCCCTGCGCGGCTGGGATTTACTTGGCAGCCCAGCCACCGACCGCCCAGCCAGGCCAAAGAGAGGCCGCTGGGATGCGGCCGTTCCCCAGTCGCCGGCTCAGTCTACCTCGGTGCAGCTGCTCGAGGCAGAAAGAACCAGAAAGACGCCGTCCGCCCCCGCTCCGGCCCGGGCGGGTCACGCGGCTGCCCGCCTCGATCCGGGCAGCTGCGCGAAGCCGAGGTTGGCGTCGCAGCGCGCGCCTGCGCACTGGCTCCCGCACCGCCGCTCGGGGGGTCTTCGGGCTGCGCAGCTCCCGAGGTCTCCATGGCAACCGGCCGTGGGTTGCTAGGACCGAGCCCGCCTACGCGCCGGCGCTGCCACTGGAGCTAGAGAGCCGGGGCGAGGGCGGCTGTTCAGGTCGCAGAGCGAGGGGTTTGGCTACGCCCCGATGGCGCCTCCGTGGAGGCCCAACTGTTCCACCCAAGTGGGCCTCGGGAACGCGGGGGTCAGGTCGGGGAGAAGCGCCGACATCAGTGACTGCATCCACTAACTTTATCATCCTCTGCCCCACCTGTTAGATTCACCCAGCGTGACTCTTGGCAGACACAATAAATCACACGTCCCCACACTACGGCCCGCGGGCCGCATGCAGCCCCCTGAGGCCATTTATCCGGCCCCCCGCCGCACTTCAGGAAGGGGCACCTCTTTCATTGGTGGTCAGTGAGAGGAGCACAGTATGTGGCGGCCCTCTGAGGGACAGTGAACTGGCCCCCTGTGTAAAAAGTTTGGGGATGCCTGCTATAAATCAAGGAAGGAAGAAAAAGAGGCTTTAATCTTGGGTTTCTCTAAGAAAAGCCACAGCTCCTGTTGGCCTTGTAACCTTCTCTACTACAGGCTCCTGGGTTCTTCCAGGAATTTCCAGAAACTTCTAGAAACATCACTTTCCTACCCGACCCCTTCTAGCATGAAGATAATGCCTTGCCTTTCCTTGTTTCCTCAACGTGATGCAGGGTGGGTTGTTAGTGTCCTCCAGGAAGTCGGGGAGCAATGTTACAGCTCAGTGATTGCCCCTGCAGAGGAGTGTTAATCCAAACGACAACCATTTTGTTAGCCACCCCACCCCCACCCCCGCCACCCGACTATTTTGCAGACCTTGGTCCAAGTGAAATATTCTACGGGGGTTCAGGCCGTGAGAAACATCCTGCCCACCCACCTGACCACAAGGCAGACAAAGGCCCAACTAAAGAAACATTATCAGACTGCTGCAGTGGCTCACGCCTGTAATCCCAGCACTTTGGGAGGCACAGGCGGGCAGATTTCCTGAGGTCAGGAGTTCCAAACCAGCTTGGCCAACATGGTGAAACCCTGTCTTTACCAAAAATACAAAAATTAGCTGGGCGTGGTGCCCGGCACCTGCAAACTCAGCTACTTGGGAGACTGAGGCAGGAGCACTACTTGAATCTGGGAAGCAGCGGTTGCAGTGAGCTGAGATCCCGGCACTGCACCCCAGCCTGGGAGACAAGAGTGAAACTCCTTCTCAAAAAAAAAAAAAAAAAAGAAATACAAAAAATAAAGACTGGACACAGTGGCTCACGCCTATAATCCCAGCACTTTGGGAGGCTGAGGCAGGTGGATCACGAAGTCAAGAGATCGAGACCATCCTGGTCAACAAGATGAAACCCCGTCTCTACTAAAGATACAAAAATTAGCTGGGCATGGTGGTGCGGCCTGTAGTCCCAGCTACTCAGGAGGCTGAGGTAGGAGAATTGCCTGAACCCAGGAGGCGGAGGTTATGGTGAGCCGAGATCGGGCCATTGCACTCCAGTCTGGGTAACAAGAGCAAAACTCCGTCTCAAAAAAAATAAATAAAAAAGCAGATGGCAAGTTCAGCCAAGTCACATAGGAGTGCTTAATTTTTTTTGTTCTATTTTGTTTTTGAGACAGGGTCTCACTCTGTTGCCCAGGCTAGAGTGCAGTGGTGTCATCTTTTTTTTTTTTTTTTGAGACGGAGTTTCGTTCTTGTTACCCAGGCTGGAGTGCAATGGCTCAATCTCGGCTCACCGCAACCTCCGCCTCCCGGGTTCAGGCAATTCTCCTGCCTCAGCCTCCTCCACCTCCTGGGTTCAGGCAATTCTCCTGCCTCAGCCTCCTGAGTAGCTGGGATTACAGGCACGTGTCACCATGCCCAGCTAATTTTTTGTATTTTTAGTAGAGATGGGGTTTCACCATGTTGACCAGGATGGTCTCGATCTCTCGACCTCATGATCCACCCACCTCGGCCTCCCAAAGTGCTGGGATTACAGGCTTGAGCCACTGCGCCCGGCGGTGGTATCATCTTAGCTCACTACAACCACTACCTCCCGGGTTCAAGCAGTCCTCCCACCTCAGCCTCCTGAGTAGCTGAGACCACAGGTGACTGCTACCACACCTGGCTAATTTTTTGCGTTTTTGGTAGAGATGGGGTTTTGCTGTTTTGCCCAGACTGGTCTCAAATTCCTGAGCTCAAGTGATCTGTCTGCCTCAGCCTCCCAAAGTGCTGGGATCACAGACGTGAGCCACAGCGCCTGGCTTTAATTATTAACAAAGGTCTTGGCCATGGGCAGCAAAGTTGAGGTAGGAGGCCCAGGGGACTCCACTGACGGCCACACTGAAGACCAGCCAAAACCTGGAAAAGGCACTGAAAGCCACTCTCCATAAGACATGACTGCCAGCACCATGAGAGTTTAGCATTGCCATGGAAACACCCATAAGTTACTGCCCATTTGCTGGTTAATTCTAAATAACCCACCCCTTAATTAGCATGTCATTAAAAGTGGGTATTAATGTGACTGCAGCTTTGCTCATGAGCTGCTATTCTCAGCACACTGCCTACGGAGTGGGTAGTCCTCTTTGGTTTTGGAGGGAAGGTGAGGGTAAAAGAGACACAGACAGAGGGCAGCTCAACAGCAACCCAGGTGTACCGCAGACACCTATGGAAGTGGGGGAGCAGCTTAATACCAAAGCCCACCGCTGCTTATAGGCTGGGGGTATTTATAGTTATGGGTGTCCTTGCTGTCCAGCAGGATATTGACAAGACGGTCCCATGATGAGGCGGTTCTGGCCCTTGTCCTGGTAGAATGTCGTGTTCTATGCACTTTCTCCCAGTAGAATATTATAGGATATTTCTTAGTTGAGCCTTTGCCTGACAGGGTATGATAATGTTTCTCTTTTTTTCTTTATTTTCTTTCTTTCTTTCTTTCTTTTTTTGAGACGGAGTTTCCTTCTTGTTACCAAGGCTGGAGTGCAATGGCGCCATCTCGGCTCACCACAACCTCCGCCTCCTGGGTTCAGGCAATTCTCCTACCTCAGCCTCCCGAGTAGCTGGGACTACAGGCTGCACCACCATGCCCTGCTAATTTTTGTATTTTTAGTAGAGACGGGGTTTCACCTTGTTCTGAGAAATCAGAACTCTTGTATCTGTGCATGGCTGGTAGGAACATAAATTAGTACATCCACTATGGAAAACTCTCCTAAAGCAAAACCTGCAGAAACATGTTCACTAAAAGATAGGGACAATGATATTCCTTGCAGCACTATTTACAATAGCCAAAATCTAGAGGCTACCCAAATGCCAGTTCACAGAAGAATAAATTGTGATATGTCCATATATGTCCATATAGTAACACACTGAGCAATCAGAATAAATGACAGGTTTTCACCGTGTTAGCCAGGATGGTCTCGATCTCCTGACCTCATCGTCTGCCTGCCTCAGCCTCCCAAAGTGCTGGGGTTACAGGCATGAGCCACCACATCCGGCTGATGTCCAGAGTTTTTTTGAAGGGGAGATCCCATAGGCATTGAGCACCTATGCGATTGGCCTTCATTACTCAGTCTCAGACAAACTGATGCCATGTGGCCCAAGGCCTCCACCACAGGTCACACTGTTAGCACAGGCTTCTCCAAGAGCTTAGAGCTTGCTTCCTAGGAGATGATCAAAGATCTTTGGGATGTGCAGAGTCTGAGCAAACCAGACCTGGCCAGGTCTTTTTTTTTTTTTTTTGAGACAGAATCTCCCTTTGTCACCCAGGCTGGAGTGCAGTGGTGCCATCTCGGCTCACCACCATGCCCAGCTAATTTTTAACTATGCCCCGCTAATTTTTAACATTTTTTTTTGTAGGGACAGGCTCTTACTATGTTGGGTAAGATGGTCTCCAACTCCTGGCTCAAGTGATCCTTCTGTCTCAGCCTCCCAAAGTTTTGAATCATAGGCATGAACCACCGTGGCCAGTCAATTCTCTATTCTTGATCCTGAGTTTGGAATATTCCACAATTTATTTATTTATTTTTTTATTTTTATTTTTATTTTTATTTTTTTTTTGAGACGGAGTTTCGCTCTCGTTACCCAGGCTGGAGTGCAATGGCGCGATCTCGGCTCACCGCAACCTCCGCCTCCTGGGTTCAAGCAATTCTCCTGCCTCAGCCTCCTGAGTAGCTGGGATTACAGGCACGTGCCACCATGCCCAGCTAATTTTTTGTATCTTTAGTAGAGACGGGGTTTCACCATGTTGACCAGGATGGTCTCGATCTCTCGACCTTGTGATCCACCCGCCTCGGCCTCCCAAAGTGCTGGGATTACAGGCTTGAGCCACCGTGCCCGGCCACAATTTATTTTATTTGAGATAGAGTCGCATTCTGTCACCCAGGCTAGAGTGCAGTGACTCAATCATAGCTCACCGCAGCCTTCATCTCCTGGGCTCAAGGGATTCCTCCTGACTCAACCTCCCAAGTAGCTGGGACTACAGGCATGTGCCACCACGCCTGGCTAATTTTTTAAGTTTTTAGTAGAGACGGACCTCACTCTGTCACCTAGGGTGATCTTCCAGTTCTGGCCTCAAACAATCCTCGGCCTTCCAAAGTGCTGGGATGACAGGCATAAGCCACTGCACCTGGCCAATGCCACCATTTAAAAAATAAACGGAAAGGTTTTATTTATAGTAACAGTTCAAAATGTGAGGTTTGGAAACGGTAAATGCAGCTTGGAATTAAAATTTTCCACAGCCAGTATCATATTTGAATTTGACCAACTATATCACAAATAACAGAACACAAATAAAGCAGAAGAGAAACATCTCAGGTCCCGGAGACTGAGATTTCCCAAGTGGATCTGAGAATGCTCAGAAGGCAGAGGCATTAAAGGCAAAAATGAAACTTTGAATGAAGCTGCCTCAGTGAGGTATGGGGGTGAAGAAAGCAATATGCATTTTGTTTTATGTTTT